CCCAGCGTCTTAAAAAATAAAAATAAAAATAAAATAGGATGAAAGTCTCTTGCACACCACCCACCCCTTGTTTTTCAGGCTGTCTTTCCTCCTCACATACTTCTGTGCTACAGGTTCAACTCCAAGCCGACGCCCCGCGCCACCAGCCGTGGGCTTCGCCTGCAGCACAGGCCTGACCCAGCACACACCCACCCACCCCCCGTTCATTGGCGCCCCCTTCAGCATTCCGCGGGACCCCCAATTCCTACCCCACCCCTGCCCTGCAGCTGACACCGCAGCTCCCTGGGCCCGAGATCTGTGTTCGCCGACTCCACCTCTTACGTGTGGGAAGCAATCTAGGCTAATAATTTTTAAAAAGGTTTCAGAAGTGAACACTTCTGATTGAGGTCCGACTTTAGCCGCTGAGCATTAAGGCAAGTTCCTCAACTACTCTGAGCTTTTATTTCTTCATCCGTAAGAGGGGGATGATCAGCATCGTGGAACATATTTAACAGAAGTTGTGTGTTAGGTCACAGCGCAGCCCAAAACCATTTGCTGATACTCTTTACACTCCTGTCGTTTCTCGTGTCCAAGTGTTCAGAATGAGGCGGGCACCAGATGTTAGCCATGGCCATCACGGCCGTGCACAGCTGCCATTGGCAGGCTGATTCTCGGACCCACGACCTCATACACCTTCTTATCCCACCTCGCCTGAGACCCGCGGCTCCCTCTCAGTGCTCACCCAGGCTTGCCCTCTTGGATATGCTAGTGACCTGGTGACATCACTGCCTAAGGTGGCACCGCCTCACATGGAAGTGATTTGCCGCACGCCTCTTGGGCACCAGGTCCAGGGGTCACTACAGCATCAGTGTCACCAGAAGAGACCTGCTGTATAGCAAGGCACTTAATGCATGTATACATTTCTGCTTTCATTCAACTAAGCCCCTCATCTCTCTCTTGGGCTTTACATGACAATTGCTTTTTTTTTTCTCTGTTTTTTAACCTCAAGAAGATTCAAACAAAGTGCAATGCGGCTGGACTTGGTACACACCTGCAATCGCAGCACTTGGTAGGCTGAGGCAGTAAAATCACTCTGAATTGGAGGCCGGTCAGGCTGCACAGTTTAAGCAAGCCTAAACTAGGAAGTAAGGTCTTGTCTCAAAACATCAAAAACAAACACTACGGCCTGAAGGTCCTCTGAGGGAATCCTTTCCTATCCTACCCAGAAGCACCCACCAGACCTCCTGAGCTTCACTGGGCTCGCCTGCACCTGTGTGGTCTCTCCGCCCTCCCCCGACCTCCACCCTGGCCTCCACTGGAGGCCAGGGCCCCGAGAGCAGAGCTTCCCAGCAGGCGGGGCCTGCTTACCACTTGTTGGTTGAATCTCTGGACACAACTGAGCAGTCACCATGAGCAAGATAAGGACATCAAGGGGCCGACCACATAGCTCAGCGGACTGAAGTGCCTGCTTGGCAGGCTCAGGGGCCTTCCATTCCTGGGTGCTCTACTGGCCCCGCCCCCGGAGCGGGCTGAGTTGGAGACTGAGACTAGGTGTGGTGGCACACGCCTGTACTCCCAGCTCTTGGGAGGCTGTAAACAGGCAGATCACTACGAATCTGATCTAGTAGTGAGACCCCGTAGACCTGGTACTAAATACATTACATCAACCTAAGCACGCACTGCACGTGGAAAAGAGCCTGGGGACAGAGCCAGCTGCTGTCCTCCACATATCCACGCCCTCCCTGCTTCTGCTCTTCCCTCAGCGCCATGCCACGCCTAGAGCTCAGCACGTCTGCTGAAGGTTGGAGCAGGCAGTCTCCTCCCAGAGCCCAAGCTTGGACAGAGTATTCCACAGGCATTATTATCATTCTGAACCATCTCAAAATCTGAGCCAGATTTCAGAGACACTAACCCCAAAAAAGAGCATATGATTAAAAATGGGGGCAGTGGCACTGCCTGTAATTCCAGTACTCTGGGAGAATGAGGCTGGGGGATCCCAAGTTCAAGCTCAGCCTAGGCAACTGAGTGACTGAGGGAAACTGTTTCAAAACTTAAAAAACATAAAAGGCAGGAGATGGGCTAGAACGATAGCTCAGCGGTTTAAGCAGGCAAGTACGAGGACCCAGGTTCGATTCCTGGTCCCGTATGCTGTGCAGGCCCCAGAGCCCCAGGAGTGGGGGGGGGGGGGCATGCTGGCCACTGAAACCTTGTGGTGGTGGTGCACACCTGTAATCCCAGCATTGGGAAGGCTGAGACAGGAAGAGCATGACTCAGCTGCATAGCAAGACCATGTATGAAATTTTTAAAGATTTTTTTTTTTAAGGCAGGGAATGAAGCTCAGTGTGAAGGTCCTGGGTTCAATACCCATTACCACACAGAGACAGAGAGGTTTAAACAAATAGGCATTATGGATTTGCCTTAGCACATCATAAAGAAGAAATCTATTCAAATGTCTTTGTGGTACGATAGCAAAATGTCAGTCAGCTTCCTGAGAAACCCTCACTGGAGCCCGAGAAATGACTGATACCGTAGAGATGAACTTGACAATCCAACACTGCCAACAGTTCCCACAGGGACGCAGCCAGCACCTTGCTGTCCTGTGGCCCCAGCTTTAGTCCAGTCCTATTAGAACATGGGAGGATCCTGAGACAAGACTTGTACCACAGTCCAACGTACAAGCCAGCAAGAGGCCTGAGTGTCCATCCTGCCCTGTCTTCAGTGTCCATCCTGCCCACTTCTCTCTGGGCAATTAGCTGGGGCGTTGGCCCTGTGCCCTCCGCCCTCACCCACCTTGCTCTCTGCACACAGCTCTCTCCCGGGCCACTGCTGCCGTGGCTGCCACTGGGCTCCTCTTATCCTCCCTGCCGTGCAGCTCTTACATGCTCTATGTTTTTAGTAGTTATTTGGTTTTGCTAGTCTGCACCAGGATTTCGGCTTTCAAATCTAAGAATCCAAAACTCAGTGCTCTCATCGCCCTCTGGACTTGCACAGCATTACAGTCTCCGAGTGTGTGCACAGGCGCACACACATGTAAACTGGGTTTCACGCACTGCCCTTCTTGCCTCCTGAGATCACTCCTTCCTCTGCAGGACTTCCTTCTGAGGAACACTGGTTTCCCGAGACCCTTGTCTTTAAACCCATCTGGCAGGCTCTTGCTGTATTCCTGGCTGGCCTGGAGCTCACAGCCCTCCCGCCCCAGTTCCCCCAGGGCCAGAGTTACACAGTGTACTGCTATGCCTGCACCACATCCCTGTTCACAGCCAGTTCTAGACGCTCGCTTCCTCAGGAATGATGCTTCCTAACTCGAGAGATACTTTTCTTTCCTTGTTGGAGATGAAGTTGTCTGCTGGCTGTTTTCTGCAGATACTGGCTTCTTTCCTAACTCCCCACACTGCTTGTCCACAGCTTGTCTCAATGCTCCTAGATGAGTTACTTTTGCTTGGGGGACACTGGGCTTCTCCATTTTTGTGTATTTTGGTCAGAACAGAGAACTGAACCCGGTGAGTGCTGCACTGCACCCCCAGCCCTTTTTGGAGACAAGCCTGCCTTAAAGGAGTGATCGGGACTCCTACTCCAGCTTCCCAGGGAGCTTGGGTCTAAAATGTGCCCCATACCTGACCAGGCTTCCCAAATCTGAGGGGGCCTTTTGTCCAAATAAAACTCAGGGTTGTTTTGTTTTTTGCCCTTCTCTTTAAATGGTACCGCTTCCTATTATCTTTTCCCAAATGTCCAGATAATATACATTCTTACTCCTTTATGTGTTTCTTTCCCATTTTCTCCCCCCCCCCCCCGTCCCTTTAAGACACGGTCTCGCTATGCAGTTTGGGGTTGCCTTGAGCTCACTTTGTAACCCTTGAGGATTCCAAACTTCCAATGATCCTCCTGCCTCTCCCCCCACCCCCCATTACAGGCAGACAACACCACACCCAGTTCCAGAGCCACAGCACCTGAGAATCCAGGGCCAAGACCACATGGCATGTGGCGCTGGGGACCAAACTCGGGTCCTTGTGCTTACCAGGTAGGTGCTTATGCTTCTGCCTCCAGTCCCACTATGTAACTTTAATGTAAAGGTGTGGGCACACAGAAAGCGTTTTACATAAAGCCTTAGGAGGTTTTCAAGTCATATGATAGGATGGAAGGGTGCCCAAAAAAATAAGTCTTTTCCTGTAGGTCATAACCCTTGGCATCCAGCTAGGGAAAAGCCACCCCAGGTAATCCGAGTACTTGTTATGCACCCCAGCAGGACACAATTTTCTGGCCTATCAAGCAGTATGGACTGTCAAATAAATAACCCTACTACATACACATGGGCTGAGAAGCAATACGATGACCCTGGTGGGCTGCATGTGGGACTTCAACGTGACATCTGCGTGCCTGCGTAACGGCAGCTGGAGCCCGCATCCGCTTCTCGGTGTGGTGTCCGGCAGAAGGACGTGTGCTGCAGAAGGCTCTATCCCTTGTTAGTTTTGTCCAACGGCCATGAGTCCTGGAGACTTGCAAAGCCATAGGTTCTTCACACCTCAGCCTCCCAGCTCGAGGTCAGATCTCCAGTTCCATGGCAGCCACATTTCTTTTAAAAATCTTCAGAAGGAAAAGAATGTTTCAGGGCCAGCCAGCTAGCTCAGAGGATTAAAGCACCTGCTTAGGCAGATGCAGGGACCAGGGTTTGATCCCTGGCATGCCGTGCAGGCCCAGCCCCCCAGGGCGTGCTGAGACAGGATTGAGACTGGGTGTGGTGGTGTGCGCCTGTAATCCCAGCGCTTGGGATGCTGAAAACAGGAGGATCACTAGAGTCCCATCTGTATAGACCCTGTACTAAATACTAAAAAATAAACAGTTTCATATGAAATTTAAGTCTTGCCTGGTAAGAGGTAGGACTGTACAAAATAAACGCACCCAGGCGTAAGCCAGCAAGCGCCTTCTAGCAGCTGTGGAGAGAGCAGGCAGAGCGAGGCTTGTGGAAGGGAGGTGAGGAGGAGGAGCAAACACAGCTGCCGGAGGAACACACAGCTGCCCACACGCACACTTTAAAAACTTTATTTATATAAAAACTCATTTGTTTTTAAAAGCATTAAGGAGAGAAAGAAAAGAGCAAATGTACGGAGCCGAAGATGCCCCAAGTAGTATTCGGTGGGAAGGTGGGATTTTTGGTTTTCTGGAGTTGAATGTTTAGTGTGTTTCTAAGTGAAAATGGGAAAACAAATGGTTAGAGGTCCCCGAAGCCCATGGCTATTCTATCACCCGCACCGCACCGAGAAGAGAGCACCAGGAGAGCAGAGGACACGAGCAACCACCTCGGAGTCAGGGCTGGTGGGGGCAGGGTCCCCGCCAGCAAGCTCTGCGGTCACAGACAGCAAAAAGTCCTTCTGGCCAGAAAAGGTGGGCGGAGTGGGGAAGGCGGGAGGGAAGGTGCTGGGGGCTGCAGTGCCTGGGAAGGGCTGGGGTCCAGGAGCCTCCATAGAACAGGCAGAGAAAGGGGGAGGGAGGAGCAATTCCAGTTGCACTGAACAGAGCTTTTGGATGAAGGGTAACAGGAGGCAAATAAGAAAAACAGTTAAAGAGAAAGAATCAAGCCATCTAGCATCTGGTTCTGCTAGCCAACCTGCTGATCCACAGGGGAGCCACAGGCAGCCTTGGGCAGGGACCCTTGTAGCTAGGATCCCTCCCACAGTGGTGGCAAACACCAGCCACAAAGGAGTTAACGGCCACCGCCTCCTTCTCTTCCAACCACTCCGTGAGACCCATCAGGATGAGACTCAAAGGAGGCCCAACCCCGTGCAGTTGAGAAGGGCTCGCCCTGGCGGAAGTGAGTGCTACACCAGTCCCGAAGAGAGAAGCTGAGGTTCTCTACAGTTGCCTCTCAGCATCTTCCTGCTGTTGAGGGCCAACAGTGGGTACGGAAGCAACAAAATACTTTAACTTGCAAAATCATGAGAAATGAGACTGCAGAGGCAAAGGAAGGCACGTGGGAGGGAGGGAGGAGATGCACCCAGGCCGAAGGCACAGTGAGGAGGCAAAGCCAGGGCAATCGCCGCCTTGTGAGGGAGGACAGGAGCTATGTACACCAGGTCCTGCAGGCACCAAACAATCCAGGGAGGAGGCGGGGAGGACGGGCTCGAGGGCAGGAGGCGGCAGCACAGGGCAGCCTCCGCAGCTTCCTGCATGGTCCTCCCAGGGTCTCCTAGAGCTGCATCTTCCCTAAAGATGTCCGGCTTCTCCACCAGCCTTCACGACATTCTCCTCTCGCATGGCCTCCTGCAGGCAGCCAGGCCAGGCTGGCAGGCTCAGCACAGGTGGAGGCGGCCCAGTGGAGGCAGCCCGGCACTGCACGAGGCTCCCTGATGGGATGGAGTCTGCAGGTCCTTACGGTCCCTGCTCCGGAGATGAGGGCAGCAAGGTTTCCACTACTCACAGGCCCTTGCCAAGCGGAATGTGCCAGTGTTGTCAGCCTTCTTTTTCCAAAATAGCCGCTGGAATAGGTAAGGATTCACACTTCCCATTCTCCGAAAATAAAAGTCCCTTCCCCACCAGGAAAAATGATTGCGAGTAAGAACCATCCATGTAGCAGACTGCTGGTCATTGCATATACAACACGGAGCTTGGGGCTCCGCGCCTTCCAGTGAAGATTCCCACTCCCTCCTTCCTCCACACAGGGCCAAGTTCCTGGAGAGCCGGCCAGAAGCTCATCTGCAGCAGTTTCAGCAGTTTTTCGAGATTGGAGACTGAGATGCAGTGCGCACACCGCAGTCAGGTTTCCCGGCAGGAGCCAGGGAGGCTGAGTGGGCGTGGGGCACACGGGCCGGTCAACTTCACTGTGCGAAGCCGGGAGTCCAGAGCAAAGGGCAGGAGGCAGCCTGGCAGTTGGCACAACAGTCCAGCGAAGAAAGGGGAAAAATCAGTCTGTTTCACCACCAAAAAATGAAAGTACATATATTATAAGCCCAGATGGAGCGCAGGGAGTGGTGCTAAATCTTCTGCTGTGGGAAAAGAGAAACAGGACATTAGCAGCAGTGGGAATAAGAAGAGAAGGCAGGGGAAAACGTGGGCAAATCGAGAGGAAGAAAAGTAGCACACAGTGGAGAAGCGATCACCGGCTGTGCGGCCCAGCCTCTTGGGCAGCACAATCAGAGAAGCAGAACCCCAGGCCCACAGAGCTGACTCGCGTCTCCCGCCTGATCAGAGAAGCGTGATTGCAAACTGCAGGCTCACGGGCACCTCCTTCCTCGGGGACAATATGGAAGGGGCCGGAGGACATACCATGGAGGGGTAAGACACCTGGTCCCCCTCATCATCCAAAACCAACACATCCAACTCTTCCTCCAGAGAATCCTGCCCCTCGGTCTGCTGTGAACACATGCAATTGGTTAGTATGAACAGAGAGAAGAGCCTCCCGAGGGCGTGCCAGGCCTAGGGAAAACTCTAGAATGTGTACATTCAAACCAACCAGGTAGAAGAGGGGCAAAAGATTCAACAGGCAGGTATGAGTGTGGGAAGGGTGAGAATAGATCAGTTAGCGTTAGTTGTGTCAGTAACACCTTCACAGGCTTCCTGCTCCCAGCCTGACCAATGCAGAAATCCCCATGAGTCAAAATTCCTACTTGTTCCTACAAACTCCCACCAGAAAAAGACTGTGTCTCTGTCTCCTTTCCTCACTCCACAGGACGTAACAGGCCTCAGAACAGAACCAGCCTTGATGGGCAGCAGTACATAAAGAGAATTTACCATCAAGGGAGTTCCCTTCAGCGGCTCCAGGTCGCCTAGGTCCCCACTTCGATCCAGTGTTCTGTTGTGGTCTCTCTCGCTCAGTGTGGAATAGTTGTTATCTGTGAACACAGTACACAGACACATGGCAGCGCTGGAGGCCCATGTACCACGTCTAGGTATGACTTAGGCACCTCTGCTGGGAACTGAGCTGTGCCGGGGGCTCCTGAAAGCCATCACGTCTGATGGTCATGGACTTCACAGGAGCTTGAATAAGGTAGGAGAGAGCATAAAGGAAGTCCCCAGAGCTGAAGGGTGACAATGGTGCTGACCCCAAAAGGCCAGTCTCTAAGGGGACTGAAATAGAGAACAGTGACGTATGCAGCTGGAAGGACCTGACAAAGGAAAACAGAACTTGAGTTAAGCTTTTGGGATGAAGAGAAATTGACACAGCAAATGGGAAGGACAGTCCAGAAAGAGAGAGCAAGGAGACAGCAGCAAGTAGACCAGGAAGGTGGAGTGAGTGCTTGGGAGAAAACGGAAAAAGGGCGACTCAGGCCACAATGGGCTATGCTCAGGGACACATGTGCCACTCTGCAGGGACGGGGAGGTGAGGAATCTTCTGAGAGTTCTGAGAAAGTACAGGAAAGAGACGGGCCCCAGGCCGGTGAGGATGGCAAGCGTGAGGCGTCAGGAGGACACTGCGGAGCCCAGTAGGCCTGCGCATCCAGGGAGACACTAGTCCCTGTCCTGGGGCGGGGGCTCATTACCTACCTAGTGATTTTGTGTTTGATCCCACATTGCTCATTTGAATTTCTTCCCGGTCAGGTTTCTTATCTACATGAAGTCAGAAAGTTATCCAGGTCAAAACCAGCTCTCAGCATCTGCACACACCACCAACTGCCCTCTGGTCTGTCCTCCTACCCTTCCTGCGCTGAGTTCTCATTGGGGATAGTGGGAACAGAGTGGTGGTGAAGCCCAGCCCTCAGCGTGACCCGCCCTGCAGACGAGAACTCAGACCAGCAGCTTGCACACCACTTGGTCTCGCTTGGCCTTGCTTCTGTCTTAAAGTCTGAGGAGCAGGGCTGAGGCTGCAGCTCAGTGGCAGCCTGCACCTAGCACAGCGAGGCCCTAGGTTCGATCCCCAGAGCCGCACTGAACACAAAACTGTGAGGGTCCAAGAGCTTTCACACATGAGTCAGACATGTTAGTATTTACTGTACTGAGAAATTTTCTCTGCTTTGCTTAAAAAAGTAAAATTTACTATATGTTATAGTAAATTTTTGGTTTTGCCTTTGCTTTCATTGCTGGTTACTGCAGTAAGGCCTTGCTAGGTAATCCAAGCTGTCCTAGAACAGGGATACTCCTGCCTCAGCATTCTGAGTCCTGGGGTCACAGGTAGGTACCACCATATCTAGATTATATGTGTGTGTGTGTGTGTGTAATTATTATTTTTCTTTTTTTCTTTTCCCCCAGTACCAGGAATCAAACTCAGGACTTTGCACTTACCAGGCAGGAGATTATGCTACACAGCTATATCCCCAGCCTAGATTACAGTATTTTTAATACAAGACATTGTACACAATTTTGCATATAGCTTTAAGCTTTCTTAATCAAAAAAAGCTGGATTCTCACATCCGTTTCTGCATTCAGTCTGCTGTGGCATGTTACTCTGGCTGACGAATAATGGAGAAAATCCAGCCTCACACAGGTAAAAAGTTGGCAAAAGGTGGCTATCAACAGACTTTTCAGGAAACTGTGCATACGCTGGTGGTGTACACCTACTCAGCACACAGAGCCAGGGATCACATCCAGGGCCTCCTCATGCTAAGCCAACATCCCCACTGCTAGGTTTTTTTTTTTTGTGGAACCGGGGATTGAACTCAGACCCTTCCCACTGCGATGTTTTAATCCTGGGAGCAGCTTTTGTTTGTTTTTGCAGCACTGAGGACTGAAGCCAGGATATCCCCAAAGACTTCATTTTTATATTTCCAGATAAGATCTTGCTGAACTAAACTATCCACAGGGGCCTCAAACTTGCGACCCTCCTGACTCAAGTCTCCCTCAGTGCTTCAAGATTAGCAGCAACGTTAAACATGAAACCAAACAATCTCTTTGTATCCTGTTCAATTAAAACCCACTGGTCTGTCTTGTACTTAGCACAGATTAATTACCCAGGCACAAGTCTGATGTAACATGATACTGTCAACTGCAAAACATCACCAGGCCCACGCAGGCACAGTGGCCCAACACTGTGACCCCACCCATCATTCTTGGGCGACTGAGGCAGGAGGGTCACTGTAAGGATAAAGCCAGTATGAATGACATGCAAAGCCCTATCTCGCATCTAGGTCACTGGAGTCTGGATATTCCACATACTAGCACATTTCACTTCATACTTTTTGGGGCAGTGGGGGCACCAGGGATCGAACTCGGACACTGTGCTTGCTGGGCAGGCACTATATTTTGTTTTTAAAAATTATATTCACTGATGTCACACTGATATCGTTAGAAAGCCTGAAGTACTATGAAGTTAGCAGACTCACAGAGGTAGCCTCAAATTTTCAAGACTTTGATTTTCAGTTCAAAGCTAAGACAGAAAACACTATCAGTTATTTTGCACAAAGCAACAAGCTCACTTCATTGTGTTTTACTGTACCCACGTGCTAGTTCATTATTTTGATTTTGCATTATTTAGGATGGAACCCAGGGCCTTCACACTGAGCTACATCCCAGCCCTATTTATTTTAAGACAGGACTTCATTAAATTGGTAAAGTGCCCAGCCTGGGCTAAAATTTGCAATACTACTGCCTCAGCCTCCCAGAGTGCTGGGATTGAAGGTATATGCCACCATGCACAGCTCCTGAATTCATTTTTGAGCAAATGCCAGGGAAATGCCTTGTAATTCTGACAGTTTCTCATCCAGTCATTTTCTTCAAGTAGAACGGTACTGCAGAAACCAGGCACAACAACGGCGCTGCTTCCACGTGTGACAGCAGCGCTGGGGAGCCTCTCCTCTCCCTCAGCACTGGGCGTGTAAGAGATACCCACTCGCATGCAGGCAGAAACATGAACACTGCCAACAGCGACAGCTCCACTGAGCCATCCTCCAGTGAGGGTGGGCTCTGTGTAGCTCAGGAATGCTGCGAGAAAGCCACACAGGCTCCCAGGGCTGAGGAACACGGGCCCACCCTCACAGAGATTGGAGGGCCTCGGCACATGTTCAAGGAAAAATGGAAAAGCCTGCTCATTTCTTGGAGAAATGTGTTTGTCTGCACAGCAGAAGGGTTTTAAATGTGTAGTGGTTAACACTGGATGGTAGAAATAACTGATTTTCTGTTGTTTTTCTAGTTCTCTGCATTTTCTAATTTTAAGAGTACATATACGTTATTTGATGTTATATAGAAATTTAAAAGGCGAAGAGAAATGCTAGGACTCACTCTGCAGCAGAGGAATCCCACATCCCACCCTGAAAAGAATCACTGCTGGGGAACAAATACAAGCGCCCTGCTCTCAGCTGCCCAGCCCAGCATTGCCCCAGGAGAGGTGGAAGGAGACACTGTGGCCTGGCCCATACCTAGCTTTTGGTTGCGGTCGATGAGGGGCAGCGTGGAGTCATCGTACGAGTGACTGCTCTGGCTCCGTGTGGCACTGTTCAGGTTCACCTGCGGCACACGGGAACGCAGTCAGTGGCCCCAGGTCCGCCCGCGCACGTCCTGCCCCTGCTCCTCTGCACCTCCTCCTCCAGACGCCCTCTGACCACACCAGGCTCCCTGCCCTGCCTCCCACCTCCACATGCAGACCTGAGTCCACAGCAGAGGCCCTCGGTTCCTCCTCCCCAACACCAGTCTTGCGGAGAGACAGTGAGGTAGAATGTGCACAGGTAGCAGGAGGCCTGAGACCACCTGGTGCCCAATGTGACATACCTGAAAGTCCGACTTCTTCCACCCTTCTTTCTCCAGTGGCTTCCTCAGCTCCTTGTATCCCCAGATTGTCTGCAATACCAGCGCTGCCGCTCGGACTTCTTTTTCTGAGCGATTCCTTTGAAGGAAAGCAACACCATGTGAAATTTGGATGCAAGACCAGAAAAGCAACTTACCATTCGCCTCAACCACCAGCTTAGAACACCCCCTCAGAAATCCAGCAGGGCACTTGCTTGTAATCCCAGCCACTCGGGGAGGCTGAGGCAGAAGGACTGCAAACTTGAGAGCAGCCTAGGCACCTGAATAAGATCCTGTCTCAAAATAAAAGTTTAAACAAACAGCCTAGAAGCTGTAATCCCGGCCCTCGGGAGACAAAGCAGGCAAACTGCTGTTGAGGTTGACCTACACAAGTCAGTTCAAGGCCAGCCTGCACTACACACAGTCTCAAAAATAGGGCGTGTGAGTAGGGTGGCTATGCAGCTCAGCCCTGGGTTCAGTCCTCACCACTACAAAAAAAAAAGCCTGCCACCCATTCATGGATCTTAAGACAAATAGAGCAACACCTCCTCCCACCATCCCACATGTAAAAATGGCCAAGACCCCAGAAAGCCAAGAGGAAGTCGCTTTCCCAGCAGCCTCCTCTCTTTCTCCAAATTCCCCATCCCCCCGCTGTGATGCTGACTGAGCTCACCCTGATTTGTTGATCAACACTAGTTTCTCAATGCCCTGTGTCTCGCGGAGCTTTTTGGCAGCCTCCAAGTTCTCGGCAATAACCTCATTGATGGTGTTCAAAATAGAGACAACAGTATCCTCGGAGAAGTTCCAGGAAGAGTTCTGCTGGCCCCCTGGCAGATTCTTCACCAAGTTAGGAATGGCATGTTTGCCTGCAGCAGCAAGGTGGAAGGAACCCAGGTAAGGGGCAGGTGTGAGGAGCCTCATGTGGCGCATGGTGGCCACCAGGCCATGCATGGCGCATTCCTCCTGAGTCGCTCTTGCAGCCCACAGGGCTGCCAGATGCTGGCAGGGGCAGAGGACCAGGCCAGCTATGAAGTCACTGCTCGCCCCTCAGAAGCGGGGAGCTCACTGCTGTGGTCACTCGGGACAGCAGTCACGAGGAAACGTAGGAGCCAGCAAGGGCTCTGCCACCAACCACTACACTGACTTCGCACCCCTCTTCAGTTTCCTCACCCTACTGCAAGCAGAACAGCCCTGTGTCAAGTGGTGGGCACTGACTGAGAACAGGAGGTGCAGGGGTGCGGTGCTTGGGTCACGGCAACTCCTGAGCTGTCTCCATGGTCCTCGCCTCCGGGCTTTCCAGAGCAGCTCTACCCCAGAAGTGTCACATGGGGGGGCTGGGCTCTTCCCAGCCAGTGACTCCCCATGCACCTGCGGCCCTGCAGGCACTGTGCCACCTGCTGAGTGAGGATGGCACTTGGCTCCTTACCGATGAGCTCCTTGTTGCGAGCATCCACAGCCAGATTCCTCAGCGCACCAGAGGCCGCTTTCACCACACGCTCATGCTCGCTACTCAGGAGGTCAGCGATGGCTGAGAGAGCCTTCTCTTGACGCAGCGCAGAGCGGATGTACCGGCCGTACTACAAGGGGCACACGGATAGTGGAAGATTATAAATGGCAGGGCCCATTACCAACGTCTCCCACCTCCGGGTCCACTTCTGAAAGGGACTCACTGTCCAGCGCCCGGCACATAAGTTCTGAATGGCTCCAGCGGAGGCTTCTAGGATGGCAGGAGTCTTGCTCTCCTTGAGGAGTGAGATGTATATCCGGACCACTTCCGGCTGAAACAGCAGCTCATATCCTGTACCAGGGAAAGGCAAGAAGACAGCGTGCGAATCGACCGGGCACCTGCGCACTCTGGGCTGACACATGCATTCTGCTACACTGCGGGGCTCCACAGCCCCCTCACACACTCAACAGCACACTCAACGCAACTCCTTCCTGCTTAGCAATAACGAGCCACTCATGGACAGGAAGAGACTGTGGGGTCCAACGCTCTCTTCCCCTGCACTCTTCTCCCCCACAGCTTTCTCTGCCTTGCTGCACCATGAATGCTGAGCTCACTGACTAAGTTCAGGGCTAAGAACTCCTCCCCTCCAGCAAATCATTTTTAATGGAGCCCAGTCATTGTCCCACCCACTATGAGGAGTGAAAGCGACTGTCACAGATCTAACAACACTTCAGCATCAGGTCCTCGAAGAGCTGTGAGCTCTACACTTTACATTCATCTACACAGTGAGCCCGAAGAGCCAGAGAGGCTTCAAGTGCTCAGCATCACTGCTCGGCCCATGAGTAGTCTCCCCAAGTCCTGCCGTAACTCTACCGTGCCCCATTGTGCTGGTCATCACCTCAAACCCGTAAGGTAGAGGAGAGGGCAGTAAGCAGGGGACATAAAGTCTGCGGTTAGGCCATCAAACACCAATACTATATGAGAGCTCTAGAGACAGAAAAGAAAAAAACCACCTTACCTCGAGCAGGACTGGTTCTTTTAGGGAAGTCTACCGTGTCATTTGCTGGATCCTCCGTGGGCTTCTTCCCTAGTGATGAGGGAGGGGAAGAGACGGGGGCAAAGACTTCATCTGGCACACCATCATCCTTCACACAGAATCTCTGGCCCACAGATCCATCGCAAGGCCAAAGCAGCCCTCCCCATCCCAGCAGGGGTTGGTGGAAACGAGGACAGAAGCAGGCAGCAGGCAGGGAACAAGGGTAACCACTCTTGGTGCTGTGGACTGAGTTCTGGTAACAGAGAACACTGCCCATAGTAACATGCCATGGCAGGAGCTCAGAGGAGCCAGCTTGTCTCAGTGGCCCTTCAGAATGGAATTCCTAGGCGCAGCACAAGGGAGGCGAGGCGAGGGTAGGCTATGGGAACTGAGACTGAAACATGCAGATGGCACACCGACAAGCCCAAGCGCCCACTCACCTCTGGAGAACCACTCATCTGCCCGCGCGTCACCCAAAGTGGAAAGCAGAGGAGAGAAACGCAGGAGAAAGGTGTCAACAGGATCTTGGGCAAATAAGCAGGAAAGCACAGAGGAACAGCACACGGAGACACGCAGGAGGACCGGGGAGAAGGCCCTACATTCACTGAGCTGCTGTCCTCCCACACCCAAGTCACTGATGCCAGTGGCCGCCGCCAGTCAGCACCACCAGCACCAGCACTAGCACCACTGCCACCACCACCACCACCACAACTAGAGCACATAGCAGGAGAAGCAGCACACAGAGCTGCAGCCTCGTCGGCAAAGCCCTGTACCTGGAGCCTCACCCACACCTCTCCCCACACCACAGGCAGGTCAGAGGAGGGCTGAAGCGCAACACTCACCTTTGCCTTTCTTGGCGCCAAAGCAGCTGGCCGCGTGGGGCCCGGCATTGTTGGAAACAGTGGGGGGTGCCTCTTGGTAGCGCTCTGCTTGTGGAATCTCCCGGTGAACTTGGTAGGATAAATTCCGCAGGAGGCAGACACAGTTCTCTACAAGCTTAGGGACACAAGACAAAGACCCAATGAGAGGACAGCATCCATGGCCATCTCGCAACAAGGACAAGTGTCCAGGATCCAGGTACTATAATGGCCATCCTCAAACCAAGTGCAGTGGTGCACACCTGCTACCTAGCACTCAGGAGGCTGAGGCAGGAGCATCACTGGGCGGCCGAGGCCATCTTGAACTGCAGGCGAAGCCTTGCCTCAAAAAGACCAGCCAAACCTAAGTCCATCCTCATAAGCACAGCACAGCCATCCTCTCTCAGGTGGCCCCAGGATTCTCAACACCCTGCTGTCTGCAGGCCAATGGAGGCCACTTATGGATGGAATGGCTTCTACCACTATCTGCTACATGACCCAAAACTCAGGTCTTGTTTTTCCTACTTAATGGCTGCCAACGCAGCCCAGATGCAGCGACTCACCTTGCTGTCTGAATCTTTCTGCCCAATCTCAGCCTGAACAATGAAAACCAGGGCATCGACAAGACCATCACACTCCCGAAGCTTCCGGCGGGCTTCACTCCTCTCTGAGCTTACATTCCTGAGGGGGAACCAGGAAGTACTTACTTACAACGAGCCAAGCCCAAAGTCCTCCCTCACCACCTGCAACATGCGCAAGCTTCCTCGGTGCCTCTTCTACTCCTGGAAACAAATGGCCGCTGTCTACCATGAGCGAGGCGCTGCAGCTGACAGGACTGACAGTGAGTGCTGCTTGCTCAACTTCTAGAACCCCACGGGCCAACAAGAGGGATTTAAGACAGAACAGATGCTTCCTGCACAGGTGCAGACTCGGAACAAGGCAGCGTTTGGCTAAAGTGTGCGTAACTGAGGACACAGCCCCGAACCTCCTCACACGTGTGGGCTCTCACGGGGTGTACCAAACAAGAGGACAAAGTCAGGGGTCATCAAAGAGGGGAGGACCTATGGGGGCCAGCAAGGAGGTCTGTGCAGTGCACATAGAAGAGCAGCAGTGAAGGCAGACAAAAACAAGAGTGAGGGTGAACAACGAGCTGAAGAACGAGAACTATCTTTAAGAAGCTGTGCCCTGCTATTACCTAAGGCAGCCAGCAGTGTTGGTGAGCACCGACTCCCACTCGATGTGGCGAGGCTTACAGTCCTCGCTTGGCTCCCTCTCCCAGCCAGAGTGCGGGATGATCACCTCATCCGTCAGGGCGTGCAGGGCGTGGTCCACAATCTCCATCTTGATGGAGTCATGGGACGAGAGGTTCCACAGGGTTCCTGGCAGAGACAACAGTCAGACGGCCCTCGGAGAACGTCCAAGAGAAGCCCCTCTTCCAGCGATAGCAAGTCGTCTAGAGCTTTCAGTGATCACAAGCCCAGCAGCCCGTGCAGCATGTACGCCAGGGGCTTGCCACTACAGGCCTGCCACCACTGCCCTGCTCCACAGCGTCTCAGTTTTCCACAGTGACCAAATGCCTTGTAATGACATTCAAGCTTTAGTTTGCAACCCACAATCAGAAATATATTTTATACTGTAGCTCAAAACACAAAGGGAGCCTGCCCTTAGCTCAGTCATTTAAGCACCTGCTCATGCGAAGGCAGTCAGGAGCAGGATACTGTGGTTCGATCCCCAGCTAGGCCTGCCCTTTAGGCAGCCTGAGCCACCAAAAAAAAAAAAAAAAAAAAA